GGTAACTGCAGGGAGGACACCACGCCATCCATGAGGGATCCTCTCCCATGACCCAAACACCTCCCCTAGGCCCCACCTCCAACACTGGGATCCCATTTCAACATGAGATTTGGAGGGGACAAACATCCAGACCCTATCAGCATGTTAGGAAGAGGGCTGTGTTATTAACTACCCCCAAAACCCAGAGATCAGGGAACTTGCCCAAGGCCACATGCCAGTAACTGGCAGAGGGAAGATTCAAACCCAGGGCGTAGGCCATCTCGGCCCACTAAGGCTTCCTGCCCGCCTTGGGGTCACCGGGGCAGTGGCCAGCACCAATGGGGCACTTGCTAAGGACCAGGCAGGGTGCTAGGACTTTACAGGCATTTTGTCACAGAGTATCTGGAAGCCAGGAGGGGCAGCTAATAGGGCGTGTAGAGAATCTCTTATTGATTCATGCAGTCGGCATGCTTAAGCCCCTCTGGTCTTTCCCACTTGACATGGCGAGGGGTAGGTGTCAAAGGGAGACCAGGCAGGGTCCCACGCCTAAGTGACAGAGAATGGAGCCAAGACCTTGAGAAGTAATCCTGGGCTTTAGACTAGGGGGAGGCACATAGTGTTCCTGTTCGTGACTGTGTTGGGCACAGAGGTGGGCTGAGCTAGGGCCCCCTCCTAGGGCGGGTGAAACCAGCATCGGACCCCAGCTAAACCTTCAAGGAGCCCATTCATTCAAGTGTGTGGCAGTGCTTTGGGAAGCACGGTGTAGCCTCCAGGCTCCGTCCTCCAGCCCGCTCCTTCCATGCACAAAACGTCACCCTGGATTGGGTTCAGGATCAGGATCATTTTGCTGCTGAATTCCCAGGGACAAGCATAGTGGCTCATTGGCTCAAAGAAGAATGAATGAATGAGCAACCATGTAAATGAATACTGGGCATCATTCACTCTCGAGAGGCTGAGGGTATGACGGGAAACCAGGTCCTGAGTGCTCTGCTGACAATGTGCACAGAGAGGGCTCTTTTTGTGGGTCTCACCAGGACCCGGGCTAGGCCCGCCCCCAGCACAGGCAACACACAGGTTTCTGGGCCCAGTCCCATGCCACCCCCTCGGCCATCACTATCTTGTGAACCTGGCCCCGTGTGCCAGGCAGAGGCTCCCAAAACAGGCTCTACCAGACACCTCCATCTAGGAGAGCACACAAGCTCTGGCGAGTGGATGGATCGAGGCTGCAAACCATTGCTACCCGCCCCTCCTGCTCTTCCATTTTATTTTTCTCACCTGCTTCTCTGGCCCACACCTGTGTCTCCCTGGCAGGCAGTGAGGCTGAGTGGATGCCAGGCCTCCCTCTAGGCACTTTCCAGTCCTTCCCTGGGCCCCTGTCTCCACCCCCGGCCTTTGTGTGGTGGTAAGTGTTCATCTGTGGGGTGGGTAGCATCTTTATAAATGATTTTCTTCCTTCTCTAAAGGGGCTAAATATAGCACAAGCATAAACAGAGAAATAGACATTAAGGCAGAATGCCCTTGTGAGAACCATGCGGGGTGGAAGGAACTCTTTAAGAAGGTTTGCTGAACCTCCCCACGTTCCTCAAACCACAGCTTCTGGCCATGGGGGATGGAGCGCGGGTTCTTTCAGGGTTATTGAACTGTGCCGATTGCAGTGGCTGCCCAGAGCTGCCCTGTGGCCTGGCGTTGGGCGACTGGTGAGTCTTGGGGACAGGGGTCCCACTACCCACTCTGCCTGTTGACACTGGCCTTGGCCTGTGGGAGGCCGGTGCCCTCCTTGGCTGAGCACCTGGGCTCCTCTGTGCCCCCCACCACCATCACATACACTGATTGGGTGCCCTTGACCAGTTTCCCTAGCTGAGCTGCCATCTGCACCATTAATCCCACAAACGTTTGGGTGTCTGTGTCTAGCCCCCCTAAATCAGGCCCCTCGAGGGGGTGCCCAGCTGGTGACTTCCCCTCCCCCTCACCGTGCCAGCACAGAGCAGAGCATCCAGCAGGTGCTTAATAACATAGTGCTGAGTGAATTCTGGTGTCTGGTCCCCTCGGGGCATCAAGTTTTGACATTTCCATCTGCTGTGACATTCTGGGCTTTTGTTCCTGTCACAAAACTTCAGGGAAGGAAGTTTTATCCTTCTGTCTCAGAGCCCTCTAGGAGGAAGTTCTTTCTTGAGTCTAACCTCAGAGCCCCTTGCTACTGCTATTAAAGTGAGCAGGCGCACTGTGGCTTTTCCTGGGGAATGGCATAGGTATTCTGGAGTTTTCCTAACCAGTGGTCCCAAGCGTGGGTTCTAGCCTTCAGCACGTCTGCTTCAGCAGTGCCCAGGTGAGCCAGTGTGGAACATGTATGTCATACTGACCCCAATCTTGACATCCTGGCAAGAGGCTGCTTCATTCTGCAGAGATCCCAGACATCCCGTGCCCATGTTGGCAGTGGGTGGTCCTCGAGGATTTTGTGGAGATGGAATATCATGTCTGGTTTTCTGTGGCCTGTGGAACAAAGTCCATGCTTGTTGGCACTCAGGGCCTCCACTGTCCATGTGCCCACCAGCTTTCCTGTGACTTCTGTGCTGGGACCCATGTCTGCATCTGCCACTCGGATTCCAGTTTCCACACTTGTGTCTCTGCTGTTCTTTCCTCTTGGAATGCCCTCTCCCCTTTCCACATATCCACGTTCTACCCATACATCCATTCATTTTTCCTTCCATTGATTCATTCACAAATACTGTCTGAGTCTCTACTTTGTGTCAGGCCCTAGGAACCATAATTTGAGGACAAGAACCCTTCCTCATATCCCCTCTCTTCCTCCACCCCATCCTCCCCTTAATAAAGGATGACCCAGCCACACCCAAATAGCCTGGGCTTTTGACTGGCGGTTGGCAGGGTGGGAAAGTGCAGCTCCTGGGCAGCTGTGCCTGCTGAGCATTGGAGGCCCAGGGGCATGGGCAAGGCAGTACACGCCCAACCCTGGGTCCTGAGAAAGGAAGTGCCACCATGCTGTGTGCAGCTCAGCAGAGGAGGCCAGTTTAGCTCAGGAGAGGTGCCTGGCTGTGTGGGAGGTGGGCTGCAGGTACCTGAAGAGGTCTGCAGGGATGGGAAGTGATCCACGTGCCTAGAGGACTCTAAGAGCGGCTTGGTTGGGAGGGAGAAGGGAGGCGGGAACTGAGTCAGCAGAATGGTTTGCTGAAGGTTTGCTGAACCTCCTTGAAGCTAAAAGGAGGATGGCTGTGTGGAGTGTGGATTCGGCTCCCCACAGGACTAGCTGGCTGTCCCTGCACGAGTACAGGGAGAGGTGCCTCGGCTGGAGGGTGCGGGTTCCCATGGAAACCGCCCGCATCCCATCTGTGGCCTCAGACAACCTGCCTGGTGCCTCTGGGTCCCCCTGACCGAGGTGTCAGGCCCCGCTGGCAGAGGTGGCGCTGTATCTGGTGCAGAATGCGGGTGATCCGCAGACCGCGGGCCCATGGGGTGCAGGCCCTGGGAAGCCTGGCTCCCCTCGAAAGCCCCTGGCTTCCGCGGATTCCAGCCATCTGGTTCAGTGCCCGGTGCTTCCAACCGGGTAACGTTGGGCCTGTAATTTTTGCCTTCCTGGGCCTCAATGTCCTCATCTTAAGACGTCCCACCTCGCACGGCTGTTGTGAGGATTGAAACAGCGGTGCCTTTCACGGCACAGAGCACGCATGCCCGCCAAGCCCCGGCAGTGCGCTCGGCGCTGCGGGCATCTGCTGGGAGGCGCGCGGGCGCGGCCTGCCTCTCCCCGGCCGAGAGCTCGCGGGAAGGGTCGGTGACATCACCGCGGGGGCCGCAGCCGCCGCAGTGCCCGCCACGGGAAGGGGCTGTGCGGGGCCCGGCCCGGGCCTCTGGGCGAGGCTGCTGGCATCTCCTGGTCGCCCTCGCCTCGGACCCGAGCCCGGGAGAGACGCGGCGCCTCTGCTGACCCCTGGCGGTCAGCGGCACAGCTGCAGGAGTCGCCGGGCCCTGGAGGGCGCCGGGAGGGAGCCTCTCCCGGGGATCCAGGGTCCTGTGCAGCCCCAAACAGGCGCACTCAGCCCCTGGTGCATGTTGCCTCCTTTCTCCAGGTGTCATGAGTTGGAGCACCACCTGAGGCTTTGATGCAATGGGTCTGAATTTGGAACACGAACCACTGAAAAGAAACAAAAAGACTGGGTTTTCAGATGCCAAATCCCACCCCCAGCCCCAGGCCGCTGGATCCTGTGAAACAGATCAACCCTGCTGGCCCCCTCTGGCTGGCAGGGGGAGGAAATGCCATTGGCTGTAATGAGAGGGAACGTTTGGCCACAGGGTCCCACCTGGGTCCTGGATTCCTAGGTGCATTCGGCCAAACTGCACTGAGTCCCAGTCTCTGGTTGGGCCACTGCCATGTGACCAAGCAAGCAGGCTCTCGAGCCCAGCAGCAGAGGCTCCTCCCGCGTCCTGCCGGGTGACCCGTCCCCTGCCTGGGCCGCAGGCACAGCGGCCGCCCACTGCCTCAGCACGCCTGTGCCCGCTCGGGTGTTTCTAGGCCGGAGAGCTGCACAGCACATCTGCTGTCTCCCTCTGCTAGGCTTGGAGCAGCTACGGCGAGGACTGAGAGGGGGCGGTGAGGGCAGCCTGCAGGCGATCAGAGTTTCCTCCTCTTCATTAGAGGAAAAGGGAGATGGAGAGGCGAATGGGGATGTTTTTAATTCCTGCCTCCTCCCCGGCATTTCCCCTTTCCCTCCACCTAGCCAGTCCCCTTGGTAAGACCTGAATGGTCTAAAAAAAAAAAAAAAAAAAAAAAAAAGCCAAGAAACAACGTATTGGGAGTCCAGGTTGGCAGTATCAGGAACCGATCCCCAAGCCCCAAATCAACGTGGTGTCTTGGCAGCTGTGTCCCTCGAGCACTTTTTCCTTGTTGCATTTTGTTTTGTTATAATCGAGGTCCTTTTCTGCGGCTCCCGGCGTAAATGCACTGAGTGGGAGGGACGAGCATGCTCTCCATTCTTCTCCTTCATGTGTGTCTCCTTTCTTCGCCTTTGCAGAACCACACGATGAGCCAGCACGCACAGTGAGGGATCGCTCAACAGGACACCTCTCCGCAGAAGGCTTGCCGGAGACGCCGTGGGGAGGGCCATTTGAACATTACATCCAATCAAAGTGTCATTTGCAACCCAGATGTAAAACTCTAATGATTTGGCCATGAGGCGCTGCTATTATAAGCAGCTGGAAATGAATATTAATGGCAGAGATTAAAAGTATTCCATGCTCAGTATTTTTTATTGTCCTGCTACAGCTAGTGTGCTTTTAGAGTTTCCGCCGCAGACTACATTTCTAGAGTTAGAGAAACCTGCTTTTTAAGGCTATTGTCCTTTGTTCTTTCATGTATTATATTGATAGTTTTTAAAAAAGAATTAGTGTGATTTTTTTTTTCTTTGCTTCTTTTTTTTCTTTCTTGTTTTTCTTTCCCCCCCTTTGGTTAACTACTTTTTAATTGCAGTTCTAGGTAATTGTGCATCGTGATGTGATTGCTTGGCTATTGTCTGAATATTTCCTTTTAATTTTTTAATTAAAGACTAATGCTTTGATTGGATTTGCCAGTTCACCGGACAGTGATTAAAACTATGTAATGAATATAATCGGTTTCAGTGCAACTGGATGGTCTGCTTTTAAATGTGACTTAATCTGACTGCAGTAACTAGTACAGTTCAATAAAGGGAATCCATGCGATTAGCATCCGGCTGCCTGGTTCTCTCCTCCTCAGCCTAGGGCCGCGTGAGGGGCTGTCAGCTCCTGTAAGGGGTGTACCCCTACAAGTTCCTGTGAGCTTGCACATGCCCTTGAGGACCTGCACACAATAGACCCTGCTTCCCTCGGAAAACAAGCATAGTAACTTAATGCACGCAGACTGGACGGGCTGGCAGTGGCCACAGAAGTCAAAGCAGAAAACCTCTTAATGATGGAATACCCTGATCTTCCCACTCACAGATGGGGAAACAGAGGCCCAAGGGTAACGCGCGGCTTTCCCAAGGCCACGCAGCTGATCGATGCCCAGGCTCATTGTGGTGTCTCCTTGCTTTTCCCTTCAGGGTTGGCTTTCCCATGGGTTGGATATAGGCAGGCAAGTGGCTAGCCCTTCCCTTGCCAGGACTCCAGGTGGCATTTGGGTTCTGAGGCATGGAGATGTGTGGCCAGGACTGCAGAGCAGAGCCAGGTAGGAGCCGCAGGTTCCCAGTCATAGAGATCAGCAAGATGTGGAAACATTGAAACTGTGTCCAGGGCCAGGTCTGGAGTGAGGCAGGCAGGGGCCTGGGGTGCAGTATTTCAGGGGGCACTCATTCTCAGGGTCCCCTGCACTTGCAAGCTCTGGGAATGGGTGTCCTCTTGCATTTTACACTCTAGGCACCTTCCTTATCTCACCTACTTCTGGCCCTGCTGGTATCCCAGGGCCCACCCAGCAGCCTTGGTCTCCAGGCCTTCTCCGTGTTACCCCCCACACCTCCGTCATGCTGGTGCTCAGCTGACTTGCCAATCAGAGGCCGGAGCTTGCACGGGGAAACCCTTCCTTGCGAACTTTTCACAAGGGGCAAGGAAATTGGTTATTACCCTCTGCAGAGCGGAAATGAAACAGGCAGACAGATTGCACCTAATTATAATGTAATACTAAGTCACAGGCATGGAATTTGGAGCAATTATACACATCATCTTCTAGAAGACTCCCATATCAAGCGGCTTCTGATGACCTATAAGAGTTCCCCTTTCTTTTTGCCACCTCATGTAACATTCTCACATGGGCGGGGCTTTCTGTTTTTCAAAAGGCATTTTACACCTGTGAATCATAGAGCAGACCCTGCCAGTAGTGGGCCATTTCCTCCTGGACACTGAAGGCTGTGAATGCCAATTTTCAGCCTCTTGGAGACTTGGCTGTTTTGGGGGAAGACCTCAGGGTAGACACCCAGTGTTCCGCTAAGTGTGCCCACCCACGGACTGGGGCTGGGGCTGTGTCTGAGTGAGGTTGCCGCACGTCCACAGCAAGGCCTGCCTCATGGGCAGTGTTGGGACTGTCAATGGGACCAGTGTGTCCCGGGGACCTGCCACATCTCTGCCGCAGGGTCCTCTCCAGCTCCGGATCTATCCCAAACTCTGTGGAGCCCAGGTGAGAGCCCTCAGTAAGTACCAATAGAAGATTTGATTTGACGGTTGGTGGCGTAGGGCTAAATTAGTCACTGCCCCCATTAAAAATACAGCGGGGGGTTTAAGAGCTTTTCACGCCGTGTGGGAATCAGCAGCGAAGCCGGCTGATGCCTTGGGTAAGGAGAGAGGCGGCCTAGGGGACCGTGAGGTAATGAGGTTTATGGCGGTGGCAAGGCAGCCAGGGAACCCCACCGACTCCCCCCCTCACCCCAGCCCCATTGTTCTCCGGCTGGCTCTGCCCCTGCTGCTACGGCTGAGAGCCCCTCGTGACTTCGTGTAGGGAGGGGGCTGGCAGCGGGGACACTGAGGCCCTTCTTGGAACTGGACTTTTTTGCCATCAGGAGGTATTAGGGTGGGGGAGCAGTGTAGGGTTATAAACCTGTGCCTCCGAGACCCCACTCGCCCGTTCCAGAGGAATGGTCTGGAGGTGGGATGAGACACTTGCCTTTCAGCTGGGGGGGGCCTTTGAGGGTTACTGGGAGGCTTGTATAAAATGATGCCAAAGGGCTGCATAGAGAGAGAGACCTGCAAGAGGCATGGTCATCAATGATGACGCCAGGTGTCCTGCAGGAGGGCACCTTTTTAGCCAGGAGGGCACAGTGGAATTTGGATTTGGCTTTGGGGAGTGGGCAAGGTAACTGGAAGCCTAAGGTTTATTGCTGCTGTATTTTGATGTACAAATTGTCAGTTCTAGTGACTCTGGGTGGAGGAATTTTGCACAGCCTGGGAGATGGACCAGGATCCCTGGCCACAGGCCCCTGTCATCGAGCACCTGCCCAGAGTGCCCAGAAGTGGGCGGGTAAGGGTTTCAATCTCAGTGGAGAAACTGTTATGGAAAGAATCTTCTTGAGTTCCCCAGTAGAGAATGCTCCCTTTAAACTCACAGTTGCTTAATAATGAACTTTCCATCTGTTTTTCTTCCTTCCTAGGGTGTGTGTTCCTAGGGATGGGACCTGTACCTACAAATATTCAGTAAATAGGACCAAAACTCCAATCCATGCCTTCCTCCACTCACCCATTCAGCAGGTATTTACTGAGCTGCCCTCATCTGCCAGGCACTGCACAGGGCACTGGGGACAAGGAGATGACCAGCCAATGTGGCCCCTGGCTTCACGTAGCTCACAGTGACACAGGCAAGCATGCTGGTAAATGCATAGCGACACCTGGTCATGAGTGCTGTGATGACAAAACCAGAAGCTGCCTGGGATTTATGGAAGGCCTATGAATGAGATGCAGGGGTGCATTCAGGAAGCCCTTGCTGAGGCAGGGGCTTGAGACCTGAAGAAAGAAGGGAGGTCGGAGGTCCAAGAGCAGCGGGAAGAGAGCACCGCAAATGCGGAAGCCCTGAGCTGGAAACGAGCCGGAAATACCCTTAGAGAGCTGATTTCCTACGGAGTTTCAGTTCTAGGTGATTTAAAACAATCCCAGAGAAGTTTGGAATCTTGTCTAATATCACACCATTGAGAATAAACTTGGTACTATAACTTGGGTGCTTCGCCTTCCAGCCTGGGGTGTCTGACTCCATTTTTATTTTTATTTTAACAATCATGACGAAAATGATGAATAAAGTTTGTATTGTACCTTATAAGAAAGACTGCTGGTTCTCTTTCTTTCCATTAACAAAGTAACCAATTTTTAGCTGAGCAGAGGTTACCTTGGAGAGGGGAGGGGGCAGATTATATATCCTATGCTTTCCAGAAGTTAGGTGTGATTCTATTACTATTGGCAGCCATAGGTTTTATCAATAGGGCGTAAATAGAGGCAGTATGTGCAAAGTCTAAGAATTGTCCTGAAAGAGAAGACATGAGTTCATTGCTTCCTCCCGTCTTCCTGATGGCTGGAATGTGGCTGCAATAGCTGGCGTTCCAGAAGCCATTTGAACCATGAGGTAACTTGACTACCCCATTAATCACTTCTGGTTACTGTCCATCATAGCACTTGTGACATGTGGCGTTTTGTATTTATTGGTATGGCTTGGAACTTGCCTTTGGAGAAGAGAGAGAAACCTTACAAAGGTTTGCCCCCCAAATGCTTGTTACCCTTCAAAGCAAGTTCATGGTGCCACTATTTTACAACTTACAGTTGATTTTGGTTCATGCAGTCTTGCCGGGAGAGTGCTCAGTGATGATACACCCTGCACTGCACTCTTAACATCACAGAAGAGGAGAAAAGTCAACACTCAACAATGGCTAAATATTTGCATTTCTATCTTGCTCAACCTCTTTCCAAAAGCACGAAATAAAGTACGGTTTGCCATGCATGCCCCTGGCGTCTTTTCCCTCCATGCCTCTGCTCACAGTGCTTCCTCATGCTGGAACGGCCTTCCCTTCCTCCTCGCCGCTCCCCCGCCCCCGTTAACTTTTACTTTTAGACCCAGCTCAGCTGTCTAATTCTTGGGGCCAAGACTTGGGTGAGGTCAGTGAAGCACTCACCTGGGAGCAAAACATAAGCGGATACAAAACACTCGTGATCAAAATAAACAACATTTTCATGTAATGTTTTAGGAAATCACATTGGCAGGCTTCAGCCTGCAGGCTGGCAGCCTGTTTTTCAAAATAAAGTTCTACTGGAACCAGGACTGGGATTGGGATCTGGCAGGTGAGGTGGGATGGCACAAATGTAGCATTGGATTCTGTCTTTACTTAACACTTTGCCATTTTTTTTTTCATCATGGGTTTTTTTACACTGAGTTTTATTTTCAGAAACATTACATGAAATTATTACGTGTGTGTGTGTGTGTGTGTGTGTGTGTGTGTTTTCACTTAAATTTTGTGCCCAAAGCATGTGCTTCATTCATTTCACCCTAGTCTTGGCCCAGTTTATTCTTTAGGTCACTTACTCTGACTCCCACAGCTAGGTAAAATGTTCTCATAATAAGAACTCTGATACCACATGGTGTGTAAGTCCATCACTGGGCATGCACAGTACAGACTTTTATACCTCTTTGTCTCTGGGACTGTGTATCAGTCAGGACAGGCTAGGATATGGTACTGTAACAAAAGGGCCCAATTTCTCATGGTTTAACACAAGAAAGATTTTTTTCTGACTCATATTCACAGCCATCTTGGATGTCCAGGGGGCTTTCTTCATCATGGTCACTCAGAAATTAGGACCAGGGAGCAACCACCCCCTTAAAGATGGTCAGAAACCAAACAGAGAGAGAGAGAGACAGAGAAACTGGCAGTTCAGTGCCCTTGCCTGGAACTTACACAAATATAGAGCTCTTAAATTCACAATGCATTGGCCAGCAATTGTCACATGGCCCCACTCTATCACAAGGGGACAGGAAATGCAATCCTGCCCTGTAGCTGGAAGAAGTGAGAATTGACAGGGCTTGGAACACTGCACTAATGACTACCCAAGCTGTCTCCACCTCCCACCCATCTGTCTGACTATCTTTGAGGGCAGAGTCTGACTCTTAGTAAATGTCATTATATCCAGCACCCTACGTAGGATCTGGAGCAGATAAAATAATAAATGAATGCAGATATTGCATATGAAAATGAATCAATGACACTTTAAAAAGGCTAGAGGAAGGTAAG